CAATTAATGCAGAGGTGTGTGATAGAAATGGTGATAGGTAGAAAGAACCAAAGCAGATTTACACGCTATAAACTAAATTCTCACATCATATAGTCGGTGTGACTAAGCATCTCAATTTATGCACGGCACGGAAGGTCCTGTTAAAGATGGAAAAAGTTCAAGGCAACTCACTCTACATCGGGTACATCCGCTAGTTTAAAATAAATGAGACGACGATCTGTAGAAAGAACGTAAATAGACGCGAGGTAATGATACTTAGATTTACTACTAGAATAAACCCGTTGATGTTTTTCTAGAGGGAGAAAAATCAAATTCATTCCGAGAAAGAATAGAAGAGAACTGAGCGCATGCTTACGAGGACGATTGATTCTGTGTCGTGTTCCATCAATGAAACCGACATAACGTCCTAAAATTGGATTAAAAACAACTAAAGTGGTCATTTCTTGAGGTGTAGGCCATACTATCATAGAGCGAACTGTTTTTGGTAAAACTGGTAGGGAAAAGCGTAAGTTGTATGATATTTTGATCGAGAAACATGAAACATGAGGCTTAGTAAACTGTTTCCGGGGTACTGCCGAAGCCAGATTAACAGTAATAAAAGGATGTTCACATCTAATGTACGTGAATGAATTCTTTGTTTAAATAACGCTAATTTTCACTGTATTAGTAGTTGGTGGAGTATTTTGCATTTTTAACTATGACGCACAACTTTTTTCGCACTTTTCTTTTTTCCATTGGGTAGAGCATCAAGAACTGCATCTACTATCAAAACTTTGAAACGCGCTTTTTTGACTTTGTTATGGCGAAAACATTGAAGGATAGTCGCTTATTTTGTCTCTTTTTGCGATTTTTATGGACTTTTCAGTACATTCTTGATTCACAAATCAAGTTTTCTATTCGTATTCGGATAGAGTAAACATTTTTAGTCTTATACTATAAGTTTCAAGTTTTTTGAACGAGTTGTAGCCGTTCTGGAAAGAGAACCATAACCCGGAGCGTGAAGGAGCATCCTTCAGTTTTTCGAATTTTTCTCGCCCAAAACTTCACATTCTCCGATTTTTGACCCGATATTCGTGATCAGCATCAAATTCTGAGTCTAGACATGTGTCATTTATTAAAATCAGAAGAAGTTTTTTTTTCCATGTGCCAAAGGGGGACCTCCGGTCCAGAATTTTTCGAAAAAATTCAAAGTGACATTTTCGAAAAAGTAAATCAGCAGAAATACTCAGAATTCGATGCTGATTCCAAATATGTAAGTTTTATTGTGATTTGGTTTGGTCGGGATGATCGGCTTATCGGCCCTCGTCCCTTACTGAATTTGCACGTTCATAATGACCGTACGGCATTGTTGAATGATATATAGTCATATACCTCAACGGTGGTATAATTTGTGCTATTTGAAACATTTGTATTATTAAACTTGACAAATCGCGCATATTTACTAGCTGTAATGTTTTTATGAAATGGATTACAGTAAAAAAGACAAGAAAAATAACGTTTGACGCTAACTGAAAAAATTTTAATTGCTTTTGACGTCGTCGTATCGTTTGGTCCATTACGGTGGAGAGTATAAGCTTTGAGAAATCAATTTAAAGAAGCAAAATAACTTTAATAACTTGTTTTTCTTCCTACTTTATCCGTTGATTTCCTGTGTCTCGAAGGAATCTCTCATATAGTATCCCATATTGTTTCCCCACGAAGCAAAAAGGAAGAAACGTTGAACTAATCTCAACCGCTGTTATTGTTAGGTCACCACCGTATGCTTTACATACATCTAATCCAGTCCTACTTCCAGTTAAGCCGCCATTTCTCGTCCTATCTTTTCCTACGATTGCCGCTACACCATTCACATCTCTTCCATCTGACATTTTGAAACGATTACCAACACAATTACGCGATGGTAACTCATTAATGGCTCTCTTCACATCATTCGTTACCAATTTAGCTAATAATTCTACTTCGTTACCCGTCACAACAGCACAAGTAATCAATAATTTGGTGCCATCGTCATCAACCACTCAAGCATCAAAAGTTTTATCATCTTCTGCGTCTGATCATCGCACGTCAGAAGGTTCGTCATTTGATCTTGGAACGAAAGTTCAACAAATTCGCGAATTAGTTTCGGTCCAGCTCAAAGTCAAGATAACGACGATGATGCTGATATTATTGTTTTAGCACGATCACATTCAAACGTCCCTATCGCTGCTGCTACGTACAACACCTATGTCTCGAAAAAGGAGTCGTCCTCTTAGTACGTTTAATATGTATAGTGTCCATGATATTGATGAAGATGATGATAACATTTTGGTTAAAAAGAGAATACCTTTCGTTACCCAAACAACGAATACACTACAGAATCCAAACAGATTGATTTTAAAATTTGATAAATGCGCTGATCAGTTCTTGAAAGATAACGAGTATGACGAATAAAAAAACATCGCACTGGTTTTCTTATCTTCTCTTCTCGCTCACATACTCACATTTTTTTATGCATTCTCATATTTGGTCGTTTTTCCGGTAAACGAATAATAACGTTCGTTTTTTTATCTGTCATGGTTGTCTTTCTTCTTTATGAACCGTTTTTGTCAGCTGAGGCTGAAAATTCGGAAATAAAACATTTATATTGTGAAATGTCAAATCTGAACATTTTTCTTTTATTTTCAAGTGCCTTAATTTGGCACATTGATTGTTGCGAGGTAACGTGTGTTGTAGAAATAGAAGTGTATTTCATATTGAAAAAGTTAATGGAGTAAGATCCTCAAAAATGGAAGTAAGGTCTTCAAAAACAAGCCCCTGATTCTCCGAGCTCATGGTGAAGTCTACTTTTAGTAAGTGAGCTTGTGTCTGCCTATTCGCTTTACTTTCATTGCTTCATTCTCTGTTCATTTAGTCACAAACTGTTCGATGAAAAGTCGAATATTTGATCAGAGAAATTAAAACTTTTGAGTCAGCTCATGGTGTCTTTAGGCAGGAGCGAAATTTATGGGCGAGCGTTAGTGTTTGTTGTTCTTATTTGGACAACCTAAGAGCTAAAACATTTCTAGTTTGAACTATTGCAATTAAACGTCTCTTTCATCTCTGGTAAAATTTGATTTTCAGTGAAATTTCTCTTGTACGTGCCTTCGCTGATTTTTTTTGAAATTTTAGTGAAAGAAGACAATTTTTGAACATTTAGATAATGTATTTACAGTTCAATTTTTCTAACTTTGCTGTTAGAAAATGAACGGGATCCGAGTAGAGAGAAGAACAGAGCAGGCAGGAGCATTGTACGAGTGAAAGATGATGTTATTTCTCTTTTCGTTTGGTTTTTTCAGTCATTTTTAAGTCATCTAAGTCGGTTAAGAAAGCTTCTTCAAAGAACACATTTAATGTCAGTTTTCGGAGAAAGCAGCACTTTAGTATTCCTAAAAGCCAAAATCGGAGTAAATCATCCTTCACGTTCTCCGAAATTCCGAATAAATCGTTCTTATCTTTTCTCAAATTACGATTAAACCGTTCTTGATTTTATTCAAAGTAGGAGTAAATCACTCTCCGAGTTTCTCCGAAATGAGAGTAAATCGTTCATATTTTTTTCACAAATTGGGAGCAAAGGACGGGGTGCAATAAGAACGAGGATCGGCCCCCCCCTCTCGATCTTCTCGAAAAGTATCTAGAATAAAAGAGCATACAATTTTATGCGGTTCTACATTGTTGGTTCCCCTTCGGACTTCATATCTGTTACAAAAACCGATCAACTTTGAACAATAGCTCCGCGAGTCCATTCCGAGGTGTTTTTTGTAATTTTCTCAGAACACAACAGGTTTGAAGGGTCTTATACGCCATTCGATTTAGCTTTGAACGGCAAACAAAACCACGTTTCTACGATGTCGAGCGACAGAGTTACAGGCTGTTTAACATTACGAATATAACCTGATTTGCTTTAATGCCGAAGTTTCGACCTGCACCGCATTTTTTCTGGCATTCTGGCACATCATCGCAGAAACGTGGTCAACATCTCATGTTGTGGAGATTTGAAGGGGCTATCTAATGATATGGTTGAAAAACTTCTGAAAGAAATTTGAAGGTCACTAGGTTTCCTAGAAAACCGAGTTTTTCAGAAATCTCTGTCTCAAGACCCCGAGGCTTAGCATAACGTTTCTTCATCGAAATGTATAGAACTCGACGCGCTCTTTCATTGGATACCAACTTCAAGGATTCACGTTAGGAAATGTGGTCAGCAGACGTTCTACAAGTCAGGCCAATCCTCCAGAAAATGCATTTTTCCGCTGCGAGGGTAGAACGGCCATAACGTTTTTTCTAACAAGGCTAAAGACTTGCGGTTTTCACCATTCGGTTCAGCTTGCTGAGCTCTATAATATGAGACAGGTCTCGCCACTGACGTGCAAGGTCGATGTAAATGGTGGTGGCTTTTATATGAATCAACGCTATTCGCCGATGCCGAAAACATCACTCTGCGGTAGTAATATCCGAAAACCTGAGCGTTCGCACTTGTAACTAGAAATGAATTACCAGCCATTTTGTAGAGTTTTAAAAAAGCTTTCTTTTGATATATAATATAGACCGCTACCTAAGTTCTTTCATGGTAAAAACACAGAAACATTATCCGTCTCTGTGCTTAAAAACATCGATCTTCAGTAGTAATATCCCAAAAAGTGAGTGTTCACACTTCCAACGAGAAATAAATTACCCACCGTTTTGTAGAGCTTTGAAAGAGCTTTCTTTCGATATACAATGTAGACCGCAACCTAAGCTCTTTCATGGTAAAAACACAGAAACATCATCCGTCTCTATGCTTGATAACATCACTCTTCAGTAGTAATATCCCAAAAAGTGAGTGTTCGCACTTCCAACTAGAAATGAGTTACTCGCCGTTTTGTAGAGTTTTGAAAGAGCTTTCTTTTGATATATAATATAGACCGCAACTTAGGTTGTCTCATGGTGAAAACAATAGAAATACTATCGTTGGGTATGCTGAAAAGACCGCCTTTTAACAGCAATATCCCAAAACGTCGATGTTCGCAGTATTGATTAGAAAGGAATTACATAGCACTTTTTAGAGTTTTGAAAGAGCTTTCTTTTGATATATAATGTGGACCACAACCTAAGCTCTTTCATGGTAAAAACACAGAAACATTATCCATCTCTATACTTGAAAACATCACTCTTCAGTAGTAATATCCAAAAAAGTGAGTGTTCGCACTCCGAACTAGAAATGAGTCACCTACCGTTTTGTAGAGTTTTGAAAGAGCTTTCTTTCGATATACAATGTACACCGCAACCTGGGTTCTTTCCCGATGAAAAAGCTGAAATACTATCGTTGGCTATGCTGAAGAGGTCATTTTTAACAGTAATATGGCAAAAACGTAGGTGTTCGCTGTGTACATAACAATTGAGCAATATACAGCTTTGTTTGCCGTTCAAAGCTAGATCGAATGGTGTATAAGACTTTCCTTCAAACCTGTTGTGTTCTGAGAAAATTACAAAAAACACCTCGGAATGGGGTCGCGGAGCTATTGTTCAAAGTTGATCGGTTTTTGTAACAGATATGAAGTCCGAAGGGGAACCAACAATGTAGAACCGCATAAAATTGTATGCTCTTTTATTCTAGATACTTTTCGAGAAGATCGAGAGGGGGGGGCCGATCCTCGTTCTTATTGCACCCCGTCCTTTGACCAAATTTTTTCTATTAGAGGAAGAGAAAAATTCTAAGTTATAACTTCGATATATATGTATTCGAAGACAATCAGCGTTTCATTTATACTAGTAGTGAAAGCGAGATAAAAGAGGTGAATGACTTGTCGTCAAAACGGCCTAAAGACGGTTAGTTTACGATATAGAGCATATATTCCACTCAGTCACACCAATAAAAGGTCCGTTTTTAGACCGTGCATTGACGCTCTTGAAACGGCCAGTTTACTGTGACGTTAACGCAACGTTTTTACGCCGTTTTCACACCGTTAACGAGCCGTTTTTTTAGATGATCACGCTTAATCTCCACGGTGACTGTGGAAAACCCAAGGAGAAAACAGCTGAATTTGATACGTTTTTGAATTTACTTGACTTTAGCTGAATTTAAGTGCTTTATACATGAATTTGAACATTCTAGTGTCTGACGCGCATACCCACTATAGCGGTTTTAAGCAAGAATTTAGTGTTTTCATAATCCTGATAAAATACATATAATTGATAAACTACTATCCGCGCCAAAATTCTAGGCACTCGGTTGTTTTCCGAATAACTCCAAAACGATAAAAGATAGAGACTTGCGATTTTCAATAATCGAAAGAAGACAGTTTAGCCTATGTTTTCACAAGCAAAATCCTTTCGCGAAACCATTCGTAAGACCGATTTTCTAGGATATCTTTGGAATACCACTTCGGATCTCCGGAAACTTCAACTCGCTTGTTGAAAATAGCAAGGCTCTATCGTTTATCATTTTGGAGTTATTGGGAAAACAACCTGACATTTTGTGGATTAAACGTCGATCTCCAACAATATAATAGAATTTTGTGTATAAAGAAAATACTTTTCAAATTATATTTTCTTATCAATTTGTTACGCACTCGAAGCTTATTGATTCTACGTATTAACAATCTTTTCCACTTTTTTCTTTAGCTTGCCATTACGCTTTGAAATCTCACCGAACCTAAATTGCGAAGTGCGTAATAGAGCAAAGATCAGCTTTTTTCTAATTGAAATTTTCTCTCTGATTAGAATCAAATAATGTGAGATTGTAGAGACAGATGTGGCCTACAAAATGGAAAGGCAATATTACTCCTAGCGAATGTACTTGAGATCGAGTACTTAGCTACTTGCAAATTTTCTAAAGTGCTTGATTAAACGCTTGTCAAGCATTTTTAGATTTAATACGTGCCAAGTACTTGAAATAATTACGGATACTTGCATACATACTACTTACCAAGTTACCTGCTAAATACTTGATGAAGTACTTATCTAATACTTATACTTGTTAAATTACTTGATAAGTGCTTTTTTTACTTGCAAAAAACTGGATTTTAAAATTGCTTCATCACAAAAGAAGTTATCCTCTTTATACATGTAAGAAAATGAACGGTACAATGGCTATACCATTCACTCGAGTGCATTAAAATCAATGGCAGTCAAACTTTAACGTTACTAAGATAAAAGCTTCTCAGTATCGTCTTTAAAGTCTAAAGGTTCTCACAAGTAGATCTCGAAGAAAACAGAAATAAAACAACTCCATGCAGTTCGGACGTGTTATTTGCAAAGAGACATTTTCTGACAAAGTGTACGTGTGAATCATGTCTTCTTTACACCTTATTCTAAATAACACCATGTGTCATCTTTCTTATATCTTTTAATTAACTTTTATAACATAGTATTTTCTCCTTTTTCTGAAGTGTGGATATGATAACAGGGGTTGACGCATGATACCTTTTCTACATATAAACTTTCTTTTGTGTGTTAATTACTTTGAAGAGGACAAAGCTAATTTAAGATTTTGTTGGATATATCAAACGGATGAATTTGGACAAAAATGTTGCACATTATATCTAATGGTTTTAGTCTAAATCTCCTATTGACGATAAATGACTCTAAGCTAAAATAACAATTTTTTTGCTGACAGTACATCTAACCATCTAACATCAATCATAATTAAGAAGCTGACTGTTGTAGGCGACATTAACCTAAGGGCGTTCTATCACGTTTTTAGCCTGCGGATAAAAACGATAGCAGCTAATAAACAACATTCAATTAATCATTATAAATACGAGAAAACAATAATGTCGTTTGTCACATCATTATTCATTCTTGCCAGGCCAAATGCATATGAATATGTCAGAATGAATTTAACGTATGTATTATCACCCATTACTACACTACAAATCATTCATGTTTTGATCGTTTGGCCGAAGGTGAATTTAGATATGATGAAATAACGAACCATTTGCACTTGATAAAGTGTCAACACGTATTTATTAGTGAAAATTGTACTGGTATTGTTCCACGAATAGAATATGATACAGAAAATAATTGTTTTACGGGTTTTATAACACCTGTTCTTAATGGTGTACCATATATGAATTTATACATATGTGATACATTCGAAGAATTGGAAAATTTATTTAATACTGCTGTTCTAAAAGCAACACTACTGGTAGTTAATGTTCATCTGGTAAAACCAGCAGTTTCATCGACATCTGCAGTTTTAAAATCACCAGTTATTTTATCTACATACGGGATGAATGGTAAATTAACCTTAAGGCCATAATAAAACATTGGTATTACATTTTCCGTCAGTTTTATGTGAGAAATATTCGCATATTGGGATATACCACTGATGGTGACGGGAAATATCTACGCGCAATGCGTATTTGTTGTAACTTTTTTACTAGAACTTCACGAGTGTTCCTCAACAGTCATTTAAAAGCATTTCATGTTCAAATACCAAAATCGTGGCGGCGTGGTTCTGTTTATGTAACAGACAATTGTTTCTCTTTTTACAAGATGATATTCAATGTTTGTACCAAAATTCGTCAGCCATTATTACGTGGAATTATTAGGAGCCTATCGAAATCCTTAATGGAATCAGGTTTAGCCGAAAGTCGTAGGATTTGGTAGGATTGTGTTAGAATTCTCACAGAATCCTAAAAAACCTTAGTAAAATCCTGGCCGGACCCTAACAGCTAAGGTCCTACTAAAAATTTGTTAGAAAATAACAATAGATTTTATGAATATCTTAAAATAACAATAGGATTTTATCTTACAATAGGAAATATTCGCACTGTACAGTCTTACTATTTCAAAATCATCTCAACTGATCTAAAAATATTATAAATTGGCAAGAGACATTCAAAACATAGGCATTTCTACATAGTTTTAGTCATTTCTCTGGGGATCGAACATCGTACATTGGTGGGAAGCAGGGTAAAGTATATAGTTGTTCTCATCAATTAGATTTAGCTTGTTTATATCGTCCGATATTATTGTTATTAACAAATCTTGAATTCCACTGACGTTGCTATTTCGATATGATAAGTATAGAATAGAACATTGGAAACAACGTGCAGTCTACTTACTCTAAATACTTTTATACTGTTTAAGAAAATAATGAAATTAACGACAGCGTAAAACGTATTCAAAGTTTATCAACGTTAAATGGAAAAAATTTGAGCCGTTGACTAATTAATGGTCATTTTAAAGGCAAGAACCATCTAGAACTGATTTTTAATAAAGTTCAGACACTTCTGCTTTATATGTTTTAGTAGTGTAATAGTTTATAAAAAATGTTTTTTTTGAAATAAAGATAATGTCACTAAAAACCCATCGTCTTGAAAGAACAAGATAAAAACATTTGGTATGAGATCATACTTGTTGTCAAATGACTCAGATAAAACAAAAAACATATATATAGTGCTGAGAAGAACAAAAATCGTGTCTGCAATTAGGTAAGTTGACTTGGTTTATCATAGTATATTAATCAGGTAAGTCGCACCACAGAATATGCGCATAACACAAGTAGATCAACATCTTTTTTGTTTAAGAGTTAAGAGATAAATGAACGATTGTCTGCGTATAGAATCTGCTGGGGATCGTGGAGTTACTGTAAGCAAGGCTATGTTCGAAACTTTCACAAAACTTCGTCAAATCGCACAAGATCACAATGTCGAAGATAAGCTTAAAATTCCTCAACTGGTTTTTGTCGGTGAAACCTCTACCGGTAAATCAATGTTAGTTCAAAATTTTCTTCGTTTTCCCTGTTCGTTTTCGCAATCGAATGTGGCCACGCGGTGTCCGGTTGCCTATCGTCTTCGGTATAATCCAAGGTTAAAAGACGGAGAGATCCGGTTTACTCAGCCGTTTGGTCTTAAAGCTCAAGATTTAGGCGAACATTTGAAAGAATTGATGACTCAAATTGAAATGACACACCGAGATACAGGCGGATTCCGGTTGGAACCGTACATTATCGAAATCGAAAGTAATGAATATACGGACTTCGAAATTTTAGATGTACCGGGCTTGATCGGCGGCAGTGAAAACCAAGAGCATCGTGCTGCTGTTGAAAAAATAACAGAATATTATGTTCGAAATCCCAATTTCATGATTGTCCAGCTCAAAGAAGCCAATCAGTTGAAAGCGAACAGTTACGCTATACGTAAGATCCATGACTTATGCACAAAAAATCCATCTGAATATGGTTCGTCGTTGCCGCCGCGTCCAAATTATGCAAAAGATGCGATCACAATTCAAACCAAATTTGACACGTTCATGCAACAAAAAACTAGCGGTTCTATAGTCAATCAAGAAATTGAAACATTGAGAGATGATTTTGGCGAGACCTACTTTGTTAACATGGTTTTCGACGGTTATACATTTTCAGATCACACATATGAGGAGAATGTTGAATATATAGCTCAATTACCGGAGATAGAAGAGCAACAAGTAAACGAATGGATCGTGGGAAAATTGAATCGAGTCTCAGATCAAACAGATTCAAGATATCAACCGTTTAATCACAACTATCGAGCATTGATTGGAATTGACGTTGTCCGAAAGCAAATTCAAGATTTGTGGGTTAAAGTAAGTGGTTTTATATAAAGCTCACGCATATACACTAAGTATGACTAAACTGATGAATTAGAATGGAGAGACATCAGAACTGAACATGTATGACTACTATCCGTTCCAACATACAAGGCAGACGGTTGCTTTTGAGTAACTTTTGATAGAAGATAGATAGAGACCTGTGGTTTGCGGTTCAGGCGTGGCATCGGATTTCCTGAGATTGCCAGAATCAATATTTCTTTAAGTGTGACAATTCCGAAAATAAATGAAAATATAGGTAATCGACCACACTGAATCTCGTGGCTATATTTATTTTTAAAAACACTTGCAAAAACGTAGTAAAAACCGATATTCGGTGAGATAACCCATTTTTGCCTATATTTGAGTAAAATTAAAAAATTCATAACCCAGCCAAGATCCATCCAAATTACGTCAGAATATCCAGCTGTACCCTATTTCACCTGTTCTATATGATCTTTTATTTGCGAATAATAAAAGGCATTCCTATAGTCTGGAAGATTTCTAGAAAGCCTTTTCAAAAACCAAAGTATTTTCTGTTGACTTTTATAGCTTTTATTGAGCTGCATCGTATAGAGCAGGTAAAATAGAGCACATACATAAAAGTAAAATTAAAAATTTATAACCCAACCAAGATTCATGCAGATTACGTCAGAATATCAATATGTACTCTATTTTACCTGCTCTATACGATACACCACTTAGTACGTAAGAATTTTGGTGAAAAATCAAGAGTTTAGATTTAATTTATACAAGCTTGCTGTGTACTATCAATAGTATATCTCTAAACGGTTCTTAACGCACTATGTAACATAGCATAACACAAAATTCCCCATCCACATTGAGCTCATATGAAATTTTAAAATCGGTGTGAAATGCGATGTTTTATGCCCTGATAATCGATGGATTCTAAAATGTACTTTTTTGACCTTACGACAATTGTTCCCTTAGCCGTGTTTGGCTTAGCTTGGGAATACATGAAGCATGTTTTGGATTTTGGTCGCGATCGAAATGATTATGCAGTAAAGCACATTCTATCTATCAGGATGTGAAATATAAAAATATAAAAAATGTAGCTTTGCAGTCTGACGCGCTGACGCTTTTTTAACTAGATATTGCTAATACCGCGCACAGTCCGTTCATTCAGAAGAAACTTCGGGTAGTGCACTGATAATCAATGTAAACATGGGAGGCGGTCGTCTTGCAATGGAATATACTTTTGACGAAATGATGCGCTCATTTCCTATAACGCAGGACTTTGTCTCTTTCATAGGCATTTCGCGCTGCTTTACCAAACTTGAGCGAATCTATACGTGAACAACTTGATGTGGCCAAAGCCAAATACGAAGCAGCATTATTAAAACTTCAACAACAAGATCCAACGGTTGTGCGCTCACACTATAACAAATACATTACCGAGTTTCGCGCAACTATTCGCTCGTACGTTGCATATCGAGCTGAAATTGATGCTTTCTTTCCCATTGAGTTGGCCGGTAAAAAGTACCGTGACATTGCCGCACGCTACGACAAATGGAATCGAAAACAGTCAATCACCTGGCGAGCCTATCAGACTATTGATCAGCTTCAGACAGCAAAAAACGGTATTTTGACATCGCTCGATTTAAAACTGATTGGTGGCAGACACTTTCATCGTCTACAGCAGGTGTTCGCCTACATGGTATTGTCATTTAAACCTCGTGAGCCATCTCGTGATTGGATCGACACCGCCGCAGCATTTTTGTATGGTGGTAACAGCGACTATGAAAATATGGAAAAGGCCGTACGTGAAATTATGCGAACGCTGATTCGAGAAACATTTCTGATGGGTATTTGCTGGCTGACGCAAATGTATTCGTTGCTCACTGAAATGTTTGCTAAAGAAATTAAACGGTATTTACTATCAGAGAGGTTTTCTCATCTACGCGATCATGTCAAATTTTTGAGCGCTGTCGATCTCGAATATCACAATACGGTAAGAAACTTCATTCGACAGGCTAATGAGTCGATCAAGCATGCACGTGACTCTGGTTCAGCGTATGTCGTTCACGACATCACTGCACGACTGAAATATTTAGTTTTTTCCATTCCGGCTGAAATTCCGCATAGGGCATTTGATCAAAAAGTACCCGGCCTGGCAGTAAAAGTAAATAATGAGTATGTTGAGGCAACTATTGCCGATGTCTTCAAACACATTCCACCGCAAAAATTGATGAATTTGATCAACGGTTCCGGCTCGTTTTTGACCGTCGAAAATCGTGACGTAGAAACGTTTGAACATCATAGTAACGGACGAAAGGCGATCATTGAGATTTACACAGCTGTTGCCGGACAACTTTTAAACGCAATTACGACAAGTTTCAATTCAAATGTAGTGATGAAAATTCAAGAGTATGATACGATGAGTATCGAGCGGGCATTAAACGATCGAATTAATAGAATGTCCGATGAAGAAATCGGTGAAATGGCCAATATTCAAATTGCAGTAATAAAAAAGAATTTAAGTGATGCTGAGAGAGAAATAAATGATTTATACAAAGCAAGTCATCTTATTGAAGTCTCGATTCAAGAAATGGAGAATGGACGAGTATTAGATTCGGATGAACGTCAGAAGCTGACACAAAAATTGGAGAGAGCACGAGACGGAAATAAACTTTATTCTAAAGTGAAAGAAGGCGAACTTAGACGAAAGCTCAAAAGGGACAAGACAAAACGGCGAGTACATGACCAGTCACACACAGACGACGACGAAGAAAATGAGTTCACAGATAATATAGAACTCCTTGATAATGAGAGAGAATTAATGTTGTGTACGGACAAAACAACAGCTGATGCCTTTCTGTTGGCATTATATCAGAAACACGACATGGAAGATCTGATCAGCGGTTTTCTACCAGGTGATTCATTGGAAGCGGACAAAGAAAACCCAAGATGCCAGATCCATTTGAATGTCGATGAGAACAGGTTGGATTTTGATAATGTCAAGATTGCTTCACTGCAAAAAACGGCATCTAGAGGATTACAACAAAGGAGTACAACTACTGAAGGTATATGCAAGCTTTCTTCAATACTTTTGCGCTGCTGAACAAGTTTATTGTCTATCCTTGCCTATCGATTCTTACTTACAAATCTTAGAAACGTTTTGAATCAAAGTCGCAAACGTTTCATTCTCTACATGGAACTCTTAATAACTCGTAAAAATAGATGAACTGAATCAGAATACGACTAAGTCTAAATTAAGATAGATTTCCAATAGAAAAACAAATTAAAATTGATGGGACCGATAACAGGATAAGTACAACCATCGGTTTCTGAGATAAGCATTAGCGAGAGTATTATGTAGAATAGATTTTTCTTATATTCTGACAATCAATGAAGCAGGATTAGACGTGCAAAGTGAAGCGCAAGTTTTCTGCCATTGACACTCTAACCATCTTCTTCTGGAAAAGTAATGGTGAAAGTGCGTAGGACCAGACATTATTATTGTTGTATAGCGAGCCGAGATACTAGTTCGAGTGACATTTGATATATGGCTTTGGAGCACAAACAAGTTACTCCTATAAAATGGATCTTTCGATAAAACGTTTTGTTGAACATAAGAACTTCCTAGCAAGCTCTATTTTTGGGAGTTCTGTATGTAGATGAAAAGCTATTTTCTAGAAATACGAGTTGTATAATGTAAATACGTATTTCACATACTCTTTCTAAAAGTTAATCTGAAATCAATAAATGTATTTTGCTTCGTCCGATCTCATGATGGCTTTCTAAGAAGCCACTCTCAAACTCTCTTTAAGATAAGAACCTGTAGCTACGGTAGTAGTACAGTCTCTTCACTTCTGACCATCTTTCGATATTGAAATTCAGCTCCCTTTCCCGCACCACCGATGATAATCAACAACAGCGAGAAACAAATTGACTACTGTGTTGAACATATGAAATCAATGGGTTTCCAGGATACAAATGGTGCTCTGATCGAGTTAATTCGCTCTAAACAAGGCGATGTTAATCAGGTGTTAGATGCGATGTCAAAATCAAAAACTTACGAAAAACTTAGAATTAGTTAATTCCTTCGTTCGTGTCACAAATAGAGAAACATGACAGTCATTCCTTGTTTATTAAACATTTGTTGTATTTTTTATTGTTATTTGATATTGAGAGATGGAATTTTCTGCCAGTGTAGTGTCAACGTTTTCTTGTTTACAACAATAAAGATACATGCTTTGTCAATAACTTCGTTTAAAAATATTTTTTATACTAAATAGTGCGAGACAACAGAATGAACAATTATCCCAGCAATAATCGATCAGCAACAACAACACATGAAGGTCAGTTTACTACTCTATTCGTTTTAGTCTAAATTCCATCGCTGTATAAACTTCGCGCGTTATTTCTAGTTGAACAAAATGAAAATATCAAAACAAAACAGAAAGATTGGAGTCAAGCCACCGATTCAGGTATGTTATAAGTCAATTAAATATTACAGTTTATTTGCGTGAATACACAAATCCGTTAAATAAATATTTTATAGATGATGGGGAAAAGTATGATATATTGACAACGTCTGATATTGGTGATTATAATTTAAATCAACAACAAAAGCAATCAAGACAGCGACGAACTCATCTAAAAAAACCGTTTCAAAAAAAGAAATAATTTAATTTCTGAAATCTTTTTAATCGAAAACCTTATAAAAGACACGCTTTCATAGTCTTTCACAACGTTGCTTAATCTCTAATAAACTATAATGCAGACTTTCTATTAATAAAGCAGTCCAAATCGGAGTTTAAACATACAAATAATCACCTGATGGGAGGAACGCTTAGCTTTCTTAAGTTTACGATACGAATATCGTATTATACAACGTTACGATCGACACACTTTTACGTACTTTGTTAAATATATTAATTTTTGTGCACAGGTAGATAGTCCAAACTCTTCTCTAAAAAATTGGAATTAAACGACAGCTTCAAAAACCATGGTTGAGGCGCTACGAACATTTTTCCCGAAGGACTAAGTGCTGACGAGTACTTACAAGAGAGGGTGGTGAACGGCATGTTCGCGGTCAGCAAGACTACCTCTGCGTAGCCTTCTAAATTGCCGATCTTTGCCAGATTCTTCGAGATTTTCTGGCCTTTTTTGAGGAAAAATTAAGGAAAACTTGATTTAAGAAATGTTGCTCCTACGAAAGAGTGAAGAAATTGGCGTTGCAATTCAAAAAAGTTAACTTTTTTATTTTAAAAATTCCCTGAAATGACTGTTTTCGAAATTTTTTGCTGACGTCGCAAATGAGGAGGGAGGGTTAGTTGGTTAATGACCAATGCTAACGAGGGGGGAGTGTGCAAAAAAACGGTCATTTTTTACTGGTATCATTACTGAACACTCCTTTATCAATAGGTTTGGGACTACAGGGATGGACACAATAGAGGATCCCCATACGATAGAAGACTCCCCTCCCAGTGCTTCTTTCCAGTGCGCATAATATATTCACCCTTTTGTTTCACGACAGGAGTACTTTAAATATGCTACTGCAGAAAATGAAATATGAGAAGTTGTTCTGCTCAAATTCTTAATCGTATCCATTGATCAATAAACAAACATTTTTTTAATACATTTACTCTAACCATACACCTTATCCAAGAACTACTTCGTGATGCTAGCTCAGAGGCGCCGGAGTGTCATGACTCCACATGCGGCT